TACTTAAGCTACAATTTTTTTAATTAGTTATCTATTATATACTTCTTGCTTTTATAGAGTTTGCAACAACTCTAGTATCTACATTTTAACTTTTATTATCTCTAAATTACTTACTAGCCTCTTTTTTATTTCTAGCTAGCAACTTAAAAGAGTTAGTCTGCTTAGGCTTTAAGTGCCTTATAGTTATTCTTTTCTTAGTATATACTTTTAGATTATATTTTCTTTTCTTCTAGTTGGCAATTCAGCAGTTTGGCTTGTATATTCTGTTACTTAAAGATCTGGTTATTAGGTTTCCCACTCTTGGTTTCTAATTTCAAATCTGGTCTTTTTGTTAAATTGCTAAAAAATACTGCTATATTCTCAATTGAAACTTGCTAAATAAGTTTTTTGCAATACTAGTTCTCCTATTCATAATAGTATAATTAAAATTAGATTTCTAAACTCAACCAATTATTATAACTATTTGCAATAATACAGACCTAATTTCAAAATTATTGTTTATAGAATTTGGGGTATGAAAACTCTACTGCTTCACTAAGTTACTATACTTTTTATTTTATTTTATATATTATAATTTATTCATTTGTTTATTATAATAATATATAGATAAAATAAAGTTGATGATATTCTAACTAAACAAAGCAAAAATATATGCTAAGGTAAATAATTATTATTATGTATTATTAAGAAATATATTAAATACTTATTTTCATTATTCTTAAAAATTAGTTACTTTTGTATTTTTACTTGGCATTATTCAATTTACAGTTTTGTGAATTAATATTTAGGCTAACAAATAGTGTATCTATTATAATTAAATAATTAACCAAATATAAAAGCTATTTTACTTAAAATTTTACTATACTCTTTTTATATAATATCACTAGATATGCCTATTTAATTTTTTGAATTAGATTTATAACAAAGAAAATAAGTTTTTTTTAACTCCTACTAATTTTGAAAAAAGTTAATTATGAAATCTTCTAATTGTAATATTTATAATAATAATGATAAAATATAATAGTAATAGAATATTTTATAGATAATAAATAGGGATAATTAGAGTATAATTGTAATAATAATAATATTTTTAGTAACAAGTCTTACACAATCTCATTCACTAAATTGTTTTTAATAAAATAAAAATTTAATTCTTATTTCTAATTATTAAAGATATTGAGATCTGAAGAATTTTTATTAACAAAAAATAGAGGCTTTTAAATATATTTTTTTACTCTATGAATTACTGTGCTATATTCTATAATATTCATTAATTTCTAATATAGCTTTCTAGAATTTCATATGAATTGTAAACAAGAATAAGATGTGTTTAGTTATAACTATAATTAACTACTAGTTATACCATATTGTTGTAATATAATGTATAGAGTAAAATTACAAATTTTAGCCAATAATAAGTTAATTCAGACCAAACCTCTAATTAATATCCATACTCATTATTTTGTAACAATATAGTAGTCAATATTTAGCCAACTAATAGTTTAAATGACTAGCTAAAATTGTAATCAATTCAGATTTTTAATATTTTAGTTAATAAAAATAATAAATAAAACTTAATTTTCAATTATTCATAATTCTAATTCAGAGATAATGATTTTCTGTAATTTACAAAAAATAGCAGAATTTCTTTTAAGTATAGCTAACTATAGAAATTACTCTTAATTACTACAAAATACCAAAGAATTCAAAAATATTAAAGTTATCTGATTATTAACTAATCAAATTAAAAATTTTATAGTAGAAGATTTATTACACCAATATATAATTTATGTATCAAGTTTAAACAAGTATATATTTTCAAGAAAATTATAATTAGAAGATGTAGGTAAAACTCCAATAACTTGTTATAACTTTTGCTATAAAGCAATTTATCAGCATTTTTAATTATAATAAAAACTTTTTCAAATATAAATTTGTAATATTAATTTAAAATTACAATGATAGAATTTTTTTTAATAGATTATAATTTAATCTATCATAATAACAAATTTGTAATATTGATTTAAAACTACAATAATAGAATTTTTTTTAGCAGGTTATATTTTAATCTATAATAACAAATTTAAAATATATCAAGTTTTAACAAAAAAGATTTTTAATTAAAAGTAATATCAATATTAATATTACAGCTATTTTCAAAATAGTTGAGAATTGTGGGAATTAACAAAAAAAAAAATTATGCGAATAATCAAATACTTGATTAGTTTAGAACCAAAATGATGATTGATTCCCTGATTCATCTATATACTCATGTAATTGTTATTACTAATCAATTACACAACTAGCTTAATTGTTGAATTGCTATGTATGTACATTGTATAAATATAGCAATAGCTTTTTTTTATTTTTGGCAGCTGCTTTTTTTTTTTTATACACTTACATAAAACTGCGACACTGTTCAATAATGGTAAAAGTTCTTATATATACAATTAGGGATAGAAATAAAACATTTTAAACAGTTTTTTTTAGATATTTTAAACTATTTTAAAAAATTTTTAAAATATTGGCACCAAGACTAAAATTTAAAATTTAAAGCTAAAATACTGATTCAACAAGTTTCATAGAGATAACTTTTAAAGAAAAAAGAATCACTTTATAAACTTTCATTTATTATATAATTAAAAGAAATATATTAATTGTTTAATTTCTTATTTGACTATTTGTAAATATATATATTTCTAATTTACGATTCACATCTAATTTGGTTAATGTTATTTTATCTTTATTTGAATCAGAGGCTTGAGTATTAGCATTATTTAATAAATTTTTCATACTTTTTTTAAGCTTTTTGCATCTATATAAATGATCTGTTAATCAAGCAACAAAATCCACAGAATCCTTTTCTCAGTAATTACACTTTTGGCAAGGTGTAGTTCAATGAAGTTTGTTGGTCTTTCATGAAACATAATTGTTAAAAAACAATTTAAAATTTTGAAAAGAAAATAATTTATATTTTTAAGGAAATTATATTCTTAAGAAGTCAGTTAAATAAATAAATATATATTGGTTGTTATCATGATTGTATCAGATATATTAAAATATTTAACACCATTTTTAAATTAAACAAACATGTTTTTTATAATCATGTTTTAAAATATTTTCTATTCCTATATATAATAGATTAGTTTAATATACTAGTCTAGTATGTATATATAATTTTGATAATGGCTGTTATTATACTCAACAGATTTTTATAAGTACCTGGGGTCTAGTACATAGCCAAGCATTTATATTATTACAAGGTAAATTTTTAAAATAACATATAATTTGTAGCAGTCTGCATTTTTAAAACATCCGCATTTATTTAAATAGATCTTGTGATTCATATATGGGACTAATCCATAGAGGTTTTTTTATGGTACTGTGTAGTATATTTTTTATAGTGTTAATTAGAAGCTTCAATTGTATTAGAATTAAAGATTTAAGTAAATTATTGAATTAGATAATTAAGAAGCAAATACATTAGATAATTTATTAAAAGGCTCTAATATCTATTTATTTTTCAATATATCTTCTAATAGATGCATGCTGTATATCATTATTAGAATCAGTTTAGATGTTTGTTTTGCATCATGTTGTTATTATAGGTGGGTAGATTTTTCATTTCTGATTTTGCTTGAATTTCACTTCTGATTTCAGGTATTTTTCTCTGCTGTTCTATATTTGACCTAATTTTTTCTAGGTGATTAAGTGCATTTTCTAGTAACAGTTTTGTGCTGTGTCGCTATTATAGTAGGGTGGAATCATTATTTGATTTCATGGTTTTGCTAGTGGTTTTTCTCTGTTGTTATATATTTAACTATCTTACTTTTCTTTCTAGTTAATTAAGTGCTACATCTGGTCATCGTCAGTGTCTGTGTGGGTATTATGTTATTTTTGCCACCTTTGGATAGATTTTGTTGTTTAATTTGCTTTCTGTTATCTCTGGTGTTCTCTTTTGTCATATATCTAACTTACTATTTTTTTTCCAAGTATCAAATCTCAGTATCAACTTCATGGTATCTTGGTGATATTGTCCTGTTGTTGCTAGAGTTATTATCATGATTGGTGTCTACCATTTCACCATTATTGGAAGTATCATTGCTTTGCTGGAAGTGTTTTGCTTTTGGAGTAGTTATTAAAAAATATTTGTATAATTGGTGTTGATTATAATAATTAGGTATAGTATTAGGCTTGTAAGAGTTATATTATGATGACTATAAATAGTGTTATATAGTTTTTAATATTAGGGTTTGGTTGCTGGGTTAGAATTATGGTAACTATAAAAAGTATTAGATGGTTGGTTAAGGTTAGATTGTTTAGAGTTAAAATTGGGTATTTAGTATTAGGGTTATTTGAATATGTTTGTCGAACTATATATTGTGACAACAGTTTCAGCATAATTTTTTTATTAGTTTTCTATATTATTTTTATTATTTTTATGATATAGTAATCATGAAGCACTTTAATTGATAATACTATTGCTAACTAAACTTGCAAAGATTTTTTTTTTTTTCGATGTTAAGGTGACCTCTTGGCCGGGGACTTTTTATTAGATAATTAACAACGTTACAATTATGATGAGGGTACAACTA